CCGATGCTTTTACTTACTTTCTTTTTTTTCTACCCCGTCTTATGGTACTGACAGATGCTTTACTTCCTACTGCGTAAAGCATGGCACTCCAGGCATGCAGTCATTCACTCACTGTGCATGACACTCCTACTGTGTGCCAGGAGGCTCCAGGCTAAGCCCTGAGGAACACAGGCGTGAGCACCAGTCTTTACGGTACTGCACTGATGAAAACGTTCTGTCTCTGCACATTTGGATGCGGTAGCTCTGAGCCACAGATGAGCACCGAGGGAATCATAGCTGAGATGTGCTCTACAAGTAAAGTGCAAACCGAGATGTGAAGGCTTAGTGCAAAAATATATATATAAAGTATCAGCCGGGCGCAGTGGCTCACGCCTGTAATCCCAGCACTTTGGGAGGCCGAGGCGGGTGGATCAGGAGGTCAAGAGATCAAGACCATCCTGGTCAACATGGTGAAACCCCGTCTCTACTAAAAATACAAAAAATTAGCTGGGCATGGTGGCATGTGCCTGTAATCCCAGCTACTCAGGAGACTGAGGCAAGAGAATTGCCTGAACCCAGGAGGTGGAGGTAGCGGTGAGCCGAGATTGTGCCATTGCACTCCAGCCTGAGTAACAAGAGCGAAACTCTGTCTCAAAAAAAGAAAAAAGAAAAAAAAAATGTAAAGTATCTCATTAATAATGTTTTTGTTTTGTTTTTCCCAAGACAGAGTTTTGCTCTTGTCACCCAGGCTGGAGTGCAGTGCCGCGATCTCAACTCGCAGCAACTTCTGCCTCCTGGGTTTAAGCGATTCTCCTGCCTCAGCCTCCAGAGTAGCTGGGATTACAAGTGCACGCCACCATGCCCAGCTAATTTTTGTATTTTTAGTAGAGATAGGGTTTCACCATGTTGGCCAGGCTGGTCTCAAACTCCTGACTTCAGGCAATCTGCCCACCTTGGCCTCCCAAAGTGCTGGGATTATAGGCGTGAGCCACTGCACCCGGCCAATAATTTTTATTTTTATTATACGTTAATAATTTTAATATATTGGATAAAATAAATACATCTTAAAATTAATTCACTTGTTTTTTTCTTTTAAAAACCTGACTGTAAAAATTTTTTTTAAATAAAAAATAGCCAGGCGCGGTGGCTCACACCTGTAATCCCAGCACTTTGGGAGGCCAAGATGGACAGATCATCTGAAGTCAGGAGTCTGAGATCAGCCTGACTAACATGGTAAAACCCCATCTAGTAAAAATACAAAAATTAGCCAGGTGTGGTGGCAGGTGCCTGTAATCCCAGCTACTTGGGAGGCTGATGCAGGAGAGTGGCTTGAACCTGGAAGATGGAGGTTGCGGTGAGCCAAGATCACACCATTGCACTCCAGCCTGGACAACAAGAGCGAAATTCCATCTCAAAAATAATAATAATAATAACAAAAATAAATTTAAAAGGAAAATAAAAATGAAACTTTTTTAAGAAAATAAAAAATAATATAAAATTTTAATTTTAAGAAACCTGGTTGTAAGAAAACTTTAACTTATATTTGTGGCCCACATGACATTTCTGGGCCTAGTGACCATGAAAATGGGCATTCCAAATGCCCAGTTCATACCAGGCAGTAGACATGGCTCTCTGGTTTAGGGGGATAATCACATTTTACACAAATTTGACTTCTGCCAGTGTATCACTTTTGGAAAAGTCACACTTTCAGCTGGGCATGGAGCCTCATATCTGTAATCCTAGCACTTTGGGAGGCCAAGTAGTAGGATCACTTGGGGCCAGGAGTTCGAGGCCAGCCTGAGCAACATTGTGAGCCCTGCCCCCTTCTCCAACCCCTGTCTCTACAGAAAATAAATTTTAAATTAGGCCGGGCACAGTGGCTCACGCCTGTAATCCCAGCACTTTGGGAGGTGAAGCCGACGGATCACAAGGTCAGGAGATCGAGACCAGCCTGGCCAACATGGCAAAAACCCTGTCTCTACTAAAAATACAAAAATTAGCTGGGCCTAATGGCGGGCACCTGTAATCCCAGCTACTCGGGAGGCTGAGGCAGGAGAATCGCTTGACTCCAGGAGGCAGAGGTTGTGGTGAGCCGAGGCCGCACCACTGCACTCCAGCCTGGTGACAGAGAAAGACTCCCTGTCTCAAAAATAAATAAAAAACAAACAAACAAAAGATGAGCCAGGCACGGTAGTTTGTGCCCGTAGTCCCAACTACTCAGAAGGCTGAGGTGGGAGGATCACTTGAGCCTGGGAGGTCAAGACTGCAGTCAACTGTGTTCGCACCACTGCACTCCAGCCTGGGTGACAGAGCGAGACCGTCTCTGAGAGAGCAAATCACACTTTATCGTGCGAAAATGGAACTCATGGGAATTCCCTGTTTTGAAAAGAGCGAACCTCTCCGGTATTGCAGTACCTCTAGGCTTGTGGGCCAAAGGAACTGCAAACTGGGCTTGCTTCCTGCCCCGGGCAGTGCCACGTCTGCCAGTACAGGGATGGTTGCGGTTACTTACCGCACGCTGGGCCTTGCGACTCATTCACTCGCTCAGTGCTCACGGCAACCCTGTGAGGCAGAACCTTCGCCATCCTTTCTCAGAGACGGCCTTGGCCTGTGAATGAACGGTCTTCCGAGACCCCTCCCCCAGGACCCTGTGGCCATCTTGAATGTGTACATTGATAATGAAAGTGATGCACGTGAGTTGCTCAGTGTGTGGATTGAGAATCAAAACACTCCCAGCCGCAGATCAGTGGGTGCCCAGAGAGGTGGAGGGAGCTGCCCTACCTCACACAGCACTGCTCCTCTCAGAACATCTTTATGCTGACCAAAACATAGGAAATGTGATGGAATTGTGTATCATACATGTTGCACAAGACGCCTGTTTAATTTCCCAGAACTGTGATACACATTGATTGCAAATTAAAGAGAGATGCTGGTTTCAGTTTTAAATGCATGCAAGTACATTATAAATCGGTGATTAATTGTGATAATTTTTCAAATGAATGATCCAGCACTCCAAGAGTCTGAATGTGTTCCTTTATTTCCAAAACACAAATAAAACGAAAACTGCTCAAGAAGTCTTGAGGTGGTAAATCTTTCCCAATTCCCACCAGGACAGGCAAATCCTTGTAAATAAAAGGAATCTTTTTTTGTTTTTAAAAGCAACTCATCAAAGCCTAGGAATTTGGGGGTTTTTTTCCCCCTTAAATCACAAACACGTGTTTATTTTTACAAGGTAAGTATAACAGTTCTAACTGACTCAGAAGAAAACGGCAATTTGTGCAGAGATGAGAAAAGCACACACCTCCTTATGTGGCTGTCACAGCCCGCCTTCTCAGCAAATGTGTGTGCACATTTTGAGAAAAGAAATGAAATATTTCTTCCATTTTTACAATTACATTTGGAGTCTACTCAGAGTAAATGTATTTTTTAAAAAGCATCTTTTAATTAATTGAATACAGCAGGAAAGTTTGCAAGCTCCACCTCCAAAATGTCCCCCAGATCTGTCCCATGCTTACCTCGTCTCTGGCCACCCCCTGGGCCAGGCCACCCTCATCGCATCCTTGAAGAATTGCAGCAGACTCCTCACAGGGTTCCCTCCCCTGTCCCTTACTGTCCACACCTCACTCAACCACCGGTGGGATTATTTAAAGTGCAAATTGAATCCCATCATTCTCTTGCCAGAAACTTTCTGTCATCCTTAGAATAAAATCCAAAGGCCTCACTGGCCCTACAAGATGTGGTGACCTCATCACAACCACCCTCCCCCTGCCCATGAGCTTCGCTCACTCTCCTGCTTTCAGCCCCTCCACATTCTCTCCAAGCATGTGCCAGGCTCAGGGCCTTTGCACTTGCTGTTCTCTCTGCCTGGGACATCTTCCCTCAGAGTGTCCCCTAATTGGCTCCTTTGTGTCATTTAGACCCCAGGTTCAACATCCCCTCCTCGGAGAGGCCTTCTCCAAACGCCCTGCCTAAGAGGGCCAGACCTGTTGTTCCCCCATAGCACCCGCTCTTATTGTCCTCACCCTTTTCACTAACTCCATTTGTCCTGCTATTTGTTCGTTGACCTGTTTATTGTCTGTGTCTCCCATTCAGCTGCAGTTGAGTTCCTGAGGGCATGAACTTGCTTCTCTTGTTCACAGTTTAGAAAGTACCCAGTAAATGTTGGCTGTGTAAATGGGTGAATGAATGGTCACATAAATCAGAGAGAGACAAAGAGAGGCAGAGGCGGAGGAGGAAGAGGAAGAAGAGGAGGAGGAAGGAGGGAAGGAAGGAAGGAAGGAAGGAAGGAAGGAAGGAAGGAAGGAAGGAAGGAAGGAAGGAAGGAAGGAAGCAAATGAGTTATATCCCATTTATAAAATGATACCAGAATACAGTGCCTTGACCATTATGAAACTAGATTCTTTGAGCCATGTTATGTGACCTTGTCTTATCATTTAATATAAAAATGGCAATTTATCATCTGACAATACTATAGTTTTTCTGTACTGTTTACTCTGAGCCTGACACTGTGCTGGAGTATTTCCCCATCGTAGGTTTTATTATTGTCCCCATTTTGCCAGTGAGGACCTGAGAGGTTGCTAGGGGGCAGGAAAGGGGTTAGTGAGGTGCTGGTGGGGTGGAGGGGCCAAGGATCAGCTGAGGCTTTCTGACTTGAGAGCTGGCAGTGCCCACCACCCACTCCCCACTCTGCCCCCCAACAGGTCTACTTGTTACATTTCTGTTATCCTCATGCCATCCTCTGAATAAACTCCCATCATGCTGGTCCTTGGTACCCATGACAATGACAGCTTGTCAGCTCTGGGCCAGTGCTGTGGCACATGGACATGGGGAAGCCTGGAGGTGGCAAGGATGAGTGGGCTCCATGTGGGGAGGGTGGGGTGCGTGGAGCTGGCAGGGGAGTTAAGAATGGGACAGCCAGTGGGAGCCAGCCTGGGGGCAGGGGACACGGAACACCAGCATCAGAAACTTCCCTGCATGGGGCTCTGGGTAACCGGGGCTCACCTCCCTTCTGTCTGCTGCAGGATGGGGTGCGTGAAGTCCAAGTTCCTCCGGGCCGGAGACAATACATTCTCAAAAACTGAACCCAGCGCCAATCCGCGCTGCCCTGTGTACGTGCCGGATCCCACATCTACCATCAAGCCGGTGAGTAGGGGAGGTCCCAGTTTCCCTGGGGGCTGCTAGATGCTGCCCCAACATTGCCCTGACTGCCTCCTGTCTTTCCAAGACTGGACAGGGTGAGCTTGGGGTGAAATGAAGCTGACTGGCCACCCACAGTGCTCTGACTCTCTGGATGCAGCGCCAGGATGCACAGGAGCAAGGAAGTCACCTCTCCTTGTCCTGCAGCCTGGGCTTGGCCCGACAGCCTGGGCTCCTCCAAACAGGTGTGCACGAGCATCTGAGGCCTCGGGCCTGGGCGGAAGCAAAAGCAGTGCTGAGGGTCGTGAGTGACCAGCAGTGACAACAGCAGCTGAAGTGAGGACGTAGTGGTAGTATCAGCAGCATTGCGAAAATAAGTAACAATTGTCAGAGTAATAGTACCAACCCTAACTGCACGAGGATAACAGCCAGAGCAGTAGCAGAAACCACAGCAGGAGTTGTAAAAAGAGAAGCAGTCATGCTCAGAGCAGTATTCCCAACTTATTTTATGCGTATACGGAGCTGACTAGGAACCAAGCACTGTTCTGAGCCTTTATGGCTGTTAGCACCCCAGTCCTCTCAGTAATCCTATCGTAGGTAACCGTTTTCATTATACCCATTTTATGGATGACGCTGTAGGCCATTTTATAATTTGGGGTAATAATTCCTAAAATGGGGATGATAATAACCTCTGATGGGGAAATAGTGCAGTGTCAGCTCAGAGCAAACAGGACAGAGAAGCGATTCTATTGTTAGAGAAGGGGGTGGCCTCATTGTTCTGTTGTCGTTGTGGTTGTTGTTTTTAATTGAGATGGAGTCTCACTGCGTTGCCCAGGCTGGAGTGCAGTGGCGCCATCTCAGCTCACTGCAATCTTCGCTGCAAGGTTCAAGCAATTATTGTCTCAAGCTCCCGAGTAGCTGGGACTACAGGCACAAGCCACCATGCCTGGCTAATTTTTTTTGTATTTTTAGTAGAGATAGTGTTTCACCATGTTGGCCAGGCTGGTCTCAAACTCCTGACCTCAGGCGATCCACCAGCCTTCTCCTCCCAGAGTGCTGGGATTACAGGCGTGAGCCACTGCACTGGCCCATTTTTATATTAAATGACGAAGATGAGGTCACATAACATGGCTCAAACAACATGTTAAATAACAGTCAAGGCACTGTATTCCTGGTGTTATTTTCTAATTGGCTCAACTTTTTTTTTTTTTTTTGAGACAGAGTCTCACTCTGTCACTAGGCTAGAGTGCAATGGTGCAATCTCGGCTCACTGCAACCTCCACCTCGGGTTCAAGTGATACTCCTGCCTAGCCTCCCAAGTAGCTGGGACTACAGGCACATGTCATTACACCCATCTAATTTTTGTGTTTTTAGTAGAGATGGAGTTTCACCATGTTGGTCAGGATGGTCTCGATCTCTTGACCTCGTGATCCACCTGCCTCAGTCTCCCAAAGTGCTGGGATTACAGGTGTGGGCCACTGTGCCCAGCAAGTTGGCTTAATATTTTACAGAGTTCAGATAATTTACCTAAAGCCACATGATAGTAAGCCGTGGAGCCAGTATTCAAACTTGGGCAGGGCAGGGCAAAGTAACAGGCAGAAGCCCAATGCAACCAAAGGGACAGCAGTAATGGTGATGGTGGCCGTGGTAATGGCGGCCGTGGTAATGGTGGCAGGAGCTGTAGTGGCAGCCATGGTCGTAGCTTCTCTAGCATTGGTGTTTGTGACAGTAAGGCCCATGGGAGCAGTAATAGTTAGTAATAAAGTAATAGTGCCAGCACTGGGACGGTGATGACAGCACTACCAGCAGCAGGATCAGCTGGAATGATCACTGCTGTTCTTTGAACACCTACTGTGTTCCAGGCACTGGACGGAGGTGTTCCTATTCATTAATCTTCACCAAAAGCTGAGGGGCAGGAGTTCTGCCACTGTACAGGATGACAAAGGCTCAAAGGGGTTAAATGGCCCCCAGGGTCCCCTGGCTGGAAAGTGGTAGAGTCAGGTCTCTCCGACCCTAAACCTGGAGTTCTCTCTCCTCTGTGGCTCTTGAGTCCATCTCTTATCTGTAGTTTTCTCTTGGAGCTCAGTCCGCGTTTGATGTTTCCTGAGGTGAGGTGCAGTCCTTCCTTGGGTGACCCCTTAGAAAGTTCTTCCTTATATTAAAGAAAGACCTATTACCCTCATAACACTCATTCCTTGATCAAAACACATCCACTCCCTTTGCCCCATAACAGCTTACAGAGATTGAAGGCAGAGATCATATCCCAACCCATGCATCCCTTCCAAACCATCTTTCATAGGACAAGGGTTCCTGGCCCCTTTCCATCCTGCTTGCCCTTCTCTAGGCATTATACCTAGAATAGGACTAATTCTGGAAATGGGAAAATGATGGAATAGTCACCTCCCTCCTTCTGACACTTTACCTCTATTAATACAGCCTGAAATTACACATTCTTCTCACTCTGGTGATGTCCTGAGCTGACCTCCGACTATAAAACCTAAGTCACTCCCATGTACACTTCTCTCCTGACCTGTGTGGCCCTGGGGCCTTTCTTGGTGAGGGCTCCAGGTTCTCAGGTTCTCTGAGGCCCTCCAGCTTGTCATCAGCAGGAAGTAGAGGGTTTCCCACCAGTTTCTGGTTGTCCTGTTTGAGCATCAGATCTGAGCGATGCAGTTGCCAGGTGGCATTCATGGTTCTCCTGCAGCAGTTATCAAGGTATTTCCTACTCCCCTCCCGCAGGGCTTTAGTTCAGTGTAAATCAGTTAAGGATTAATTGTTACCTACACAGGATTATTTCAGGATAGGGTGTCAATAATCATCAGAGAAAGGGCTCTGGGGCCAAAGCAGTTTGGAAAACACTGAGTGAAACAGGCTCCCTCCCTGCCAGACTGCTCGGAGCCTTTGTGAATCTTCGTAATGGGCTTTGCAAAGCTCCCAAAAATAGGATGTAGTGTTCAGTGTTTCCCAAACTTGTTTCTGCATATTAATGTTTACTTACAGGTGCGACACACAAATATGTTCCTTTTGAAAATAAAAACACAGGCTAGGTGCAGTGGCTCACACCTATACTCCCAGCATTTTGGGAGGCTGAGGCGGGAGGACTGCTTGAACCCAGGAGTTCGAGACTGCGTGAGCTATGATCACACCACTGCACTCCAGCCTGGCAACACAGGGAGACCCTGTCTCTTAAAAAAAAAAAAAGCCTGCTTAGAACACCACAGTTTAGGTGCCACTTCGCCTTTGGATGGACATTTAGATTGTTTCACATACATAATGGAGCCTCTAGTTATGGAATATAAATCATTGGTGGACCTATGATTTCTTCAAACTTAGTCAGAAAACACCGGTCTGGACCAACCCCCTCACTGTGTGTTGAGGGGAAGGGTCAAGCAGTATCCCTGGTATGTCTGAGACCGAAGGCCGAGGCCACAACTCAAGAAACCTGGATCCTGGCTGGGCACAGGGGCTCACGCCTGTAATCCTAGCACTTTGGGAGGCCGAGGTGGGCAGATCACCTGAGGTCAGGAATTTAAGACCAGCCTGGCCAGCATGGTGAAAACCCGTCTCTACTAAAAGTACAAAATTAGCTAGGCATGCAGGCGTGTGCCTGTAACCCCAGATACTCAGGGGGCTGAGACAGGAGAATCACTTGAACCCAGGAGGCAGAGGTTGCAGTGAGCTGAGATCGTGCTACTGCACTCCAGCCTGGCTGACAGAGTGAGACACCATGTCAAAAAACAAAACAACAAAAAAAAACCTTGGATCATTTTGCTAGCTCTGCCCCTAATGTGCTGTGTGGTGCCAGGCATGTCCCCTGCCCTATATGGGCCTCCTCCCGTGACGTGGAGGACTAGGGTAAGATGCTCTTGGGTATCCTTCTCAACACAGACCTTCCACAGATCCCCGCACACTGGTCGGATTCATTCCCTTCCCCCATTTCTTCCCCACAGGGGCCTAATAGCAACAACAGCAGCCCACCAGGAATCGGGGAGGGTAAGTATCTCTGAGCAGATGCAGTGGAGTCACGTGTCCTGCAGAGAATTCCGCTAGGTTCCCACTCAGAGCTTGAGTCAAAAATCTCAAACAGCCAAACCCCTCTTGATAATACCAGAAATTTCCTCTGAGGTACTTTGCATGGGCTATTGTGTTTCTAGAACGCTGTTTAGTACCATGAACAAAACACGTTTAGCTTTAAACCTGAGAATCATACCCAGCTTATTCTGGAATAAGCTGGTGAGACACCTGCTTATACTAGGAGCCACCAAGCAATGGGCCCAGAGCTGTGCCAGGTGCTGGGTGAGGGTCACCCAGGGCTGTGGATGCACTTAGACGAAACCCCACCTTCCTGTGTCTCCCTTCCCAGCAGGCTCAGAGGACATCGTCGTGGTTGCCCTGTATGATTACGAGGCCATTCACCACGAAGACCTCAGCTTCCAGAAGGGGGACCAGATGGTGGTCCTGGAGGAGTGAGTCCCCATCCCACTCCCCCTAAGACACACCTGCCTCTTCTACCCAACTATGTGCTCTTCTGTGGCCCCATAAAGAAGCTGATAGAGGGGCTATCTTGTCCTGGGTATACATGGCTAACGAGGAGCTGATCACAACAGTCAAGTGTTTGCTGCCAACCTGGATGAAGGGGACTGTGCATTTACTAAGAGTGCACGTCCAGCCTGGGGTGAACAGGTGACACTTTCTTGTGATTAAGCTACCGGCTTACCTGTGGACCAGGCTCATCGAGGTGACCTTGCATTTGGAAATCCTCGGATCTCTGAGTTTGCCACACCTGATCCCCTACAGCCTTCACCGTCCGTGGGTATAGTGTCCAGGAGGTGCTGAAGCCTGAGGATGGGAGTGGTCGTGCCTGGTCAGACCCCCAAGCCCACTATCCCCTATTCAGCCCCAGCTGAACCATCCTGAGTCTCCCATGGGCACAGGGCCCTGCCATGGGAATGGGTAATACGGCCAAAGCTGCAAGTCCAGGGAACAGGAGTGGAGCCAGAGACCCAGGGCTGTGGGCTGTGGACAGGATGATTCCAGACCCTCAGATGCCCAGCGGGAACCGTTGTAAGGATCCCTGCCCTAATCATGGGCACATGCTGACATAGTCACAGCCCTGTCCCTCACCCTACTGGCTTTCTGGAGGCAGGGGGTTTTCTAGGTCAAGGCTGGAGAGCTTGAGGGGACTGGAGAATGATCCTTCTGCCCCCTAACACCTTCACTCCCTCCTGTCCCTCAGATCTGGGGAGTGGTGGAAGGCTCGATCCCTGGCCACCCGGAAAGAGGGCTACATCCCAAGCAACTATGTCGCCCGTGTTGACTCTCTGGAGACAGAGGAGTAAGTATTCCATTTCCTGCCTTCCAGAAGGGGCGTGAGCAAAGCCAGCCTCTTTCACATCTCAAGACCTCTGCACACACCGTCCCCTGCCTGGCACACACTCTTCCCAGGGCTCATGGGTTTGGCTGGCTCCTTCTCTTTCTTCGGGGTTCATCCTCCTGCCAGGGAAGAGACACTAAAGTGGGTCCCTGCTGTGACTCTGTCTTGTGGAAATCTTGTTTTATTCCCTTCTGACCATGTCATACTAGCAAAAGGACCTTGTTTCTTTGGTTGGTCACGTGTGCATTTTCTGCCTGCCCTGCAAGGAAGAGAGCTGGTGAGAGTGGGAACTTGGTCTGCGGCTGCATCCTCAGCACAGGCTGGCATGCAGTTGGTGCTCAGTAAATATTGTTGAATGAAGCACATGGTCATGCCAAGAAGGGTCTCTGGAGAGGCGAGACAGCTCACATCTGGCCAGTCATCCCTCATCTGTTTTGTTTTGAGAGAAGGTCTCAGGCTGTAATCCAGGCTGGAATGCAGTAGCACCATCACAGCTCACTGCAGCCTCAACCTCCCCAGGCTCAGGTGATCCTCTCATCTCAGCCTCCCGAATAGCTGGGACTGCAGGTGCGCACCACCATGCCCAGCTAATTTTTTTTCTTTTTTGTATATTTTGTAGAGATAGGGGGTCTACCTATGTTGCCCAGGATGGTCTTGAACTCCTGGGCTTAAGTGATCCTCTCGCCTCAGCCTCCCAAAGTGCTGGGATCACAGGCCTGAGCCACTGCACTTGGCTCATTTGATTCATTTGACAAACACATGCGCATGACTCTTTGAGTCCCGTGCCAGGCTACGGGACTGTGAGAACAAATAAGACATATCCCTATCCTCAAGGAGCTCCCTGTAACCCTTCATCCTTGGCTGTGGGTTCTTCGTGTCTAGCTTGACTCTGAAAGTATATTTCGATCATCCCTCCCTCTCTCCCTCCATCCCTCCGTCCCTCCAACCATCCATCCATCATCCAGCAGATACCTGTTGATTCCCTACTGTATATGTGGCCCCATTCCAGGGATACAAGATGACTCAGATAGGGCTGCCTGCTGGAGATGTTCCCTGTATGGTGGGTGAGGCTGATGAGTAAAAATAAGACTACACTGTGGGGTGACAGTACATCCAATTAAAAACCAGACAAAAAGTTGAAAGATGACAGTCCCCACTGTGTTGTCTCTTCTGTCTCCTCTTTCTAGCTAGATGGTACCATGCGTTTGGGATGCTTGCCTGTTGAAAATGAAAACATTTAAGCTTTTCCCATCACCCCCTTCTGGCTGGGCATGGTGGCTCACACCTGTAATCCCAGCACTTTGGAAGGCCAAGGCGGGAGGATCACCTGAGGTCAGGAGTTTGAGACCAGCCTGACCAACATGGTGAAACCCCATCTCTACTAAAAATACAAAAAAATTAGCCGAGCGTGGTGGTGCACGCCTGTAGTCTCAGCTACTCAGGGGGCTGAGGCAGAAGAATCACTTGAACCCGGGAGCAGAGGTTGCAGTGAGCCGAGATCATGCCACTGCACTCCAGCCTGGGGGACAAAAGCAATATTTGTCTTAAAACAAACAAACAAAAAATAAGGCCACCCTATTTTAATGTTCATGGAACTGGGGGCTCTTAGCAGCTTCTCTGTCCTGCTTCTGGGCTTTTCCCTGGGTCATCCCATGCTCTGTTTCTGCACTCCAAAACCTGAATGTTTACAGAATCCCTCATGCAGTCCTTGCAGCAATCTTGGAGGAGGCATGGCTGGTATTACTTCTCAAAGGCAACACAATTGCTGAGTGGAAAAGGCAGGGTGTAGACAACATGATTGGGGGTTGTCATTGCAAACCAAGGCAATAACCTCAGACCTGACCCACACAAGCATCACCTGGATTGGGGCTAACAAGTGGTTTCTGAGCCCCACTGTCTGATTCCAAATGTGCATTTCTAACAGGTTCTCGGGTGAGGCGGCAGCAGCTGCTGCTGCTCCAGGGACCCATCTTGGGAACCACTGATCTAAATACATATATCTGGCCGGCGGTGGTGGTTCACACCTGTAGTCCCAGCACTTTGGGAGGCTAAGGTGGGCGAATCACTTGGGGTCAGGAGTTCCAGACCAGCCTGGCCAACATGGTGAAACCCCGTCTCTACTAAAAATACAAAATTAGCTAGGTGTGATGGCAGGTGCCTGTAGTCCCAGCTACTCAGGAGGCTGAGACGAGATTCTCTTGAGCTGGGAGGCAGAGGTTGCAGTGAGCCGAGATCACGCCACTGCGCTCCAGCCTGGACAACAGAGCGAGACTCTGTCTCAAAAATAAATACACTTATCTGTCCCTTTCAGTGCACTCAGGGGCCCTCGTGTCTAAATCAAGAAAATCCCAACAGATGTTGCCTCTAGGGAGCACAACTGGGACCTTGGGAATGGGGCAGGTTGGAATCTTAGTTTCTCTCACTCCCCCTTGAAATAGGAAAGAGGCAATACTTCCAAATGATTCAAATACAAATGTGGGGAAGCCTGCAGAAGAGAGCGTGAAAAGTCTTCCTCCCACCCTGTCTCCAACCAGCCACTTCCCCTCCTCAAAAGCAACCAGTTTCTCACAAGTCCTCACAGATGCTTCCTCCTTGTATAAGAAAAGACAGCTCTTCGCGCTTATCTCACCCAAGTGGTAGACACCACACACACCGTTCCGTACTCTTGTTTGGACCGTCCACTGCACACCTCCTTCCTTTTTATACCAGAGGGCATCTGTCCTGTAGATGTCCAACAACCATTTAACCTCTGTCCGATGCAGTGGACACAAGTCATTTCCAGTCATGTACTGGAGCCAATCTCCTGGGGGATACGTCACTTCTTCCTTGTGCAAGGTCTATGGGATAACTTCCTAGGAGCAGAATTGTCAGGGAGACAGTTCTTACTCTTACATTGTTGAATATTTTACCGTGGCACAAGTCACTTTACAACATAAAAGCACAGAAGGTAGACGGGCCACATAGGATGGTGATTAAGAGCTTTGGTTCTGGAGTTAGGCTGCCTAGCTTCAAATCCTGCCTCTACAACTTCCCAGCTGTGTGACTCTGGGCAAGTTACTTGCCCTCTCTGTTCCTCAATTTCATCATCTATCAAATGGGGCCGGGTGCAGTGGCTTATGCCTGTAACCCCAGTACTTAGGGAGGCTGAGGCTGGGGGATCACTTGGGGTCAGGAGTTCGAGACCAGCCTGGCCAACATGGTAAAATCCCGTGTCTACTAAAAATTCAAAAATTAGCTGGGTGCAGTGGTGCGTGCCTGTAATTCCAGCTACCCAGGAGGCTGAGGCAGGAGAATTGCTTGAACCCGAGAGGCAGAGGTTGCAGTGAGCCAGGATCACACCACTGCACTACAGCCTGGGTAACAGAGCGAGACTCTGTCTCAAAGAAAAACAAAAAACGGGAATGGTAAAGGTGACAACTCCATAGAGTTGTTGGATGGATTACCAGATAGATGTTCACTTCCTTGCCAGTTAATAACAGAAGAACCAAAGGCCCAAAGAGGAAGGCCGCTTGCTCAAAGTCACACTGCAGGTCTGTGGCAGGGTCAGGGCAGGCTCAGCTCAGGTCTGCGGCTTTTTTCCAACTGCTCCTCACCCTAGTGAAGGTGGGAGTGGATTCGGCTAATGCTGCTTGAACTTTTCCACCCAATACCTCCAATATTCAGGAAGAATGAAGACAAGATCCCAGGGCATGATCCTAAGTATAAAGTTCTTTCCGATCTCACCTTGTAGCTTAGAAGTTCATGCCAATTTTACTTAGATTCAACTCAGTATATGCAGAGGAGGATCCATTGTAAAGCTAACGAAACCCAGGCCCTTCACAGGCTTCCAAGGCCCCAAGAGAGATCTTCAAGAGGTCTTATATGCTTGTGAAATCTGCAAAAGTAATACTTGGACCACAGTTGGTTAAGACTCCTGTCTCTTTCCCCTCTGTCTTCCTGTCCATCTCCCTGCCCTTCACAGCTAGAGGCACTGGAATGACCCATCAGCTCTTTGTACTTGTAATGCGGTATTATTTTTCCTAAAGCAAGTTCCCCCAAATTGCATAGGCTTCAGTCTCAGCAGACAGGATTCACCTCTGGTAAAATGTCTATTTTGATATCAAAAGAATGGCTCCTTTCCCCTCTCTCCCAAAAAAATCCTTGAGTAAAACTGATGCTGCGGGAAGCCAGGCCCTCTGTATCCTAACTTCCCCTGGGTCCCGCATGGCCACAGGCACCCTGTGTAGGCAGGACAGGACTGCCTGTCCTCACGTTCACATCTGTGTCCTCCCTTTTCCGTCAGGTGGTTCTTCAAGGGCATCAGCCGGAAGGACGCAGAGCGCCAGCTCCTGGCTCCCGGCAACATGCTTGGCTCCTTCATGATCCGGGATAGCGAGACCACGAAAGGTGACTTCAGCCTTCCCCGCCTTGTCCTCCCTGCAGAGGTGTGCCAGGTGGGATTGGCCACCACCCTTCCCTTGGAAGATGCCCTGGGAAAGGCTGAACAACCCAGCCGGGTGCTGCAGTGGCCAAGTTTCTCCTGCTCTTGGCTACCCGAGCCCGGAGGGTTGAGGCTCTGTGCCTGGCTTCACCTTTCTTATCCCCCATAGCTGCCAGCTTAAGTCAGTGGAATGAGTGCCATGTGGCTTAGGCCCCGAAAACAAAGAAACATCTGGCTGAAGCTTGATCTTCACTAACTTATTTCTCATTTGTTTTTGTTCTTGTTTTGTTTTGCTTCCTTTGAGACAGGGTCTCACTCTGTTGCCCAGGCTGGAGTGCAGTGGTGCAGTCCCAGCTCACGGCAGCTCTGCATCCTGGGCTCAAACGGTCCTCCCATCTCAGTCTCCCAAGTAGCTGGGACTACAGGCACATGCCACCATGCTGGCTAATCCTTCCTTCCCTCCTTTCTTTCTTTCTTTCTTTTTTTCTTTCTCCTTTCCTTTCTTTTTTGTAGAGATGGGTTTTTGCCATATTGCCTAGGCTAGTCTTGAACTCCTGGGCTCAAGCAATCTGCCTGCCTCAGCCTTCCAAAGGGTTAGGATTACAGGTATGAGCCACCACACCTGGCCTTGTTTTTTTTTGTTTGTTTGTTTTTTTGGGTTTTCTTAATACCCATAATAGATCAAGTGTGGGAGGCCAAGGCAGGAGGATCACTTAAGCCCAGAAGTTCGAGACCAGCCTGGGCAACACAGTGAGACCCATCACTACAAAAAATTTTAAAAATTAGCCAAGCGTGGTGGCTCATACATGTACTCCCCAATACTCGGAAGGGTGAGGCCAGAGGATCGCTTGAGTCCGGTAGTTCAAGGGCCATAAAGGAGCCGCTGCACTCCAGTCTGGGCACCAGAGCAAGACCCTGTCTCTAAAAAAATGAAATAAAATGTCCATTACAATATATCTTATCCACAAGCCTCATTCCTCCTTCCCTCCCTCCATAAGGAAATGAGGTAGGATGAGGTCACCAGAAGAGACTCAAGCCAGCCTTCTCTGGGACCCTGCTGAAAATGCTCCTGGGAAGCTTTTGGAAGTTTTGATGTCAGGTGATCTGCTTCCTGGAACATCTGTGCTGCAAGGGTGGATTCATGCTGGTTGGACGCACAGATGGCAAGACCAGAGCTGGAAAACATCACGTAGCTCAGACTGGCGTCGATTGAGGCTCATTGCCCCAAAGAAATGAACATCAGTAGGATTCTTGTGATATCGGGTTTCATGCTCTGACTGCAACTTTACTAATCATTTAGCTTCACAACTGCTTGACTCAAATAAACCAAGTACATTGTATAAAGTGTGACCTCAGGCCAGGCGCGGTGGCTCACACCTGTAATCCCTGCACTTCGGGAGGCCGAGGCGGGTGGATCACCTGAGATCAGGAGTTGGAGATCAGTCTGGCCAACGTGGCAAAACCCCATCTCTACTAAAAATACAAAAATTAGCTGGGCATGGTGGCAGGCACCTATAATCCCAGCTACTTGGGAGGCTAAGGTAGGAGAAACCCTTGAACCTGGGAGGCAGCGGTTGCAGTGAGTCAAGATTTCATCACTGCACGCCAACCTGGGTGACAGAGTGAGACTCTGCCCCACCCCCCAAAAAAACCAGTTCAACCCCTACCAAATCCTATGACTTTGTACTATTATGGTAGAGAAAACTGAGACAGAGGGGCTAATAACTTGCCCAAGGGCACATAGCTCACAAATGGCAAAACGGTGGTCATGAACTGAAAGACTTAACGTTTTCCTGCTCTGTGATAGTATAGGGTGGTGCAAAAGTAATCTCAGTTTTTGCCACTACTTTCTATGGCAAAAACTGCAATTATTTTGCACCAGCCTAATACGAATGTTAGGGTCCTATTGCTGCTGTAACAAATTAACACAAATTTACGGCTTAAAGCAACACACGTCTGTTCTCAGAATTGTTAGTTCTGGGGTCAGTAGTCTGACCTCACTGGTCTCAAGACGGCAGCAGGGCTGGCTGGTTCCTTCTGGAGGCTTCAGGGGAGAATTCATTTTCTTGCTTTTTTTAGCTTCCAGGAGGCTACAGCATTCCTTGGCTCATGGCCCCTTCCTGGCATCTCTCCAAGCTCTTGTTTCCATCTTCACCTCTCCCACTTTGACCTTCCTACCTCCCTCTAACAAGGATGCAAGTGATTACATTGAGTCTACCTGGATCATCTGGGATAATCCCCCCATCTCCAGACCCTTATCTGAATCACATCTCTAAAGTCCCTTTTACCATGTAAGGTGTCATATTCCCAGGTTCCAGGGTTTAGGGCATGGACATCTCGAGAGACCATTATTCAGCCTACAACAGCACGTTCACATTTCAATAAGGGAACTGGACCTCTGGATTTTTTTCCAGAAAAGTCATAGCCTGAGTTTTTAAGAAAAAGTAAAAAGTATAGTATAGTCTCTTGGCATTTGTGGGATAGATGATAGAAAGATAGACTGATAGAGCAGGAATAATGAAGATGACGATGACAGCCAACATCTGCCGAGTGTTCCAATTCCAACTTGTTTACAGACACGACTTCTTTTAATCCCCAGGCAACGGGATCAGGTAGGGAGGCATGAGAACTATTCCCATTTGACAGATGAGGAAACAGAGGCATAGAGAGGTGACATAGTCACGTGGCCAAGGTCTCACAGGTGAATGAGGTAATGCCTGGATGCGAACCCAGGATGCCTGGCTGCCACAGCCCACTCAGACCCTCGTGCACTTCTGCCCAGGTGACAGGACGGCACCAGCAGTAGCCTTATGAGGTGTCAGAATGCTGACATGAGGTGGCAGGCCCCCAAGATGCCATTCTGAGGGGTTTCTCTTTGGCCAATTCAGGAAGCTACTCTTTGTCCGTGCGAGACTACGACCCTCGGCAGGGAGATACCGTGAAACATTACAAGATCCGGACCCTGGACAATGGGGGCTTCTACATATCCCCCCGAAGCACCTTCACCACCCTACAGGAGCTGGTGGTCCACTACAAGAGTGAGTCCCACCCCAGGGGTTGCATCCACCCCCCACCCCGAGATGGGCCCAGAGGCCCCTAGTTGCAGATGCACTGCGGCCCGAGACCTGCTGTGCCCTTCCTGGCCCTCCCCCAGACAGATAGTTGCTTTGGATGCTTCTGAAGGCTTAGGACTGTTGAGCAGGAGAGTGGGGTGGCCAGGATGTCGAGGTGGCACCCTGTCACACTCTGCTTGCTTGGGAATGTCTCCGATGGTGGCAACCAGGTGGAACTCTGGACAGATACAGGGGGCCGGGCATGGAGGGCTCCGAGGGACAAGTCAAGGGGGCTCTGAGGGGCAACCTCTGGCTGGCTCGGAGCTTGTTGCCCTCAGCTGACCGAGGACTCTCTTCCAGAGGGGAGCGATGGGCTCTGCCAGAAACTGTCGGTGCCCTGCGTGTCTTCCAAGCCCCAGAAGCCTTGGGAGAAAGATGCCTGGGAGATCCCCCGGGAATCCCTCAAGCTGGAGAAGAAACTTGGAGCTGGGCAGTTTGGGGAAGTCTGGATGGGTAAGAACTCAGGGCCAGAGCCCACAGGGCCAGAGGGTGGAGGAGCAGGGAGAGGGAGGTCACTTGCTTCCAGGAACACCTTATGGCAAAGTGGAAATGCTACCCAAGACAGAAGGGGAGACTTAAATCATAACCGGAAAGAGGGAGTTCCCTGATAACAAACCAAATTGTCTTGTTGTGCAAACACTGATTTGCCTTTGAGACCAGTCCTGTAGGGGTCAAAAACTTCCTTATGGGAAGCAGGTGTCATGGATGAGGAGGCCCGCCCTCATATAGAGTGGGGACTGTCCAGCAGTTTGGGATTGAGATAACCAGAGACCTCTTTGGATGATGAAAAGTAAAAATGGGGAAACGAAGCTTGGAGATTTCCAGGCGACTGATGAACAGGATATTCTGAGCACCTACTATGTGCCCAGCACTATGTTAAGATCTTGTGGGAAAACCAGAAAGGCATATCTCACCCCTCCTGATTTTCCCCAAGAACTTAAGAACAACATTGCCTGCTTTGCAGGGGTGTGGGGTAGATGCAGTGCCCAGCCCGGTGTGGGGCACCCTGCTGTGTGAATACTTCACTGCATTCCAAATGGGAGCGAAGACAGCTTACAGGGATGCAAACAATGCAGCCAGATAAAAATTAGTTTAAAAACCATGTATTTCAACTGTATTTACTGAGATACTGCTATGTGCAAGGCTGGGCAATCCCCTCCGGTGGCTCATGCCTGTAATCCCAGCACTTTGGGAAGCCGAAGGGAGTGGATCACTTGAGGTCAGCTGTTCAAGACAAACCTGGCCAATATGGTGAAGTCCTGTCTCTACTAAAAATACAAAAATTAGCTGGGTGTGGTGGCGGGAACCTGTTATCCCAGGTACTTGGGAGGCTGAGGCAGGAGAATCGCTTGAACCCGGGAGATGGAGGTTGCAAGCAGCTGAGATCACATCACTGCACTCCAGCCTGGGGGATAGAGTGAGACTCTATCTGAGAAATAATAATAACATCAAAAAGAATTTGGCAAAAGGGGAAATATGGAGAGGAAGGTAAGACAGATCTGAGTGCTGAGATTAGAAAGCCAAAAATATCATATAAGGCCCTAGACTCCTACTACCGGAAGCCCACAGTTCTGGATTGGAGCTTCCTGGAAGCCAAGGCAAAATGGAAAGCCAAGCCATTATGAAATTGACAAGACCCACCAAATGAAGCAGGGTGGGATGAGGTGAGGGAACAGCATGTGCCAAATCCCTGTGGTGGGAGGGGACTTGGGTGCTTGAGGGACTGGGTGACCTGGAGGGTGACTGGCACATAAAAGGCAAGTCGAGCTTAGTGGCTGATGAGGCTGGGGAGGTGGATGAGGCTGGGCCATGCAGGGCCGGGGGATCATCGTAAGTCTGGCATTTATTTAAGAGCAGTGTTAAGATGAAAGTGGGTAGTGTATGTGTGTGACATAACCTGAGTGGCATTGTAAAGTTATTTTTAAATCCTTGCAAAAGCACTTCAAAGGCAGGGCTTACCATTTCCACTTTGCAGATGAGGAAGCCACAGCTCAGAGAGGTTAAGTGACTTGCCCTAGTGTGCACAGCTGGGAAGTGGTGAACCTGCCTTTCAACCCACATTTGTCTGAGGCCTAAGCGCATGCATGACTTCACTTCCCTCTCTGAGAGTTGAGATGAGCAGGAAAGGCTTTCTGGAGGAGGCGGGTCTGCAGCTGGGCCTTCTCGGATGGTACGGGAGACCAGTGAGCTCTGACCACCTTCCCTGCTCTCTGTTCCCCTCCAGCCATCTACAACAAGCACACCAAGGTGGCAGTGAAGACGATGAAGCCAGGGAGCATGTCGGTGGAGGCCTTCCTGGCAGAGGCCAATGTGATGAAAACTCTGCAGCATGACAAGCTGGTCAAACTTCATGCGGTGGTCACCACGGAGCCCATCTACATCATCACGGAGTTCATGGCCAAAGGTGCTGCATGCTGGGGCTGCGGGTGCAGGCTATGGCCTATACTGGTCAATTCTGTGAGTTCAAGGGCTGCTTGGACATGGTTCTTGCCCTTGAGATGGCCCCACTCTGGCCAGGAGTACTCAAGTACTCATTGAGATTCTATGTGCAACCATCCAGCCCTCCTGGTTAGTGGGGTGAGATCATGTTAAGGGGCCACCAAGGGGAACGGGGAACATGGGGCTCCCAGGAAAAGGGAATGGGGCCAGAATACTCCTGGGTGATGGGAGAGGGGGCTTGTGGTTCACAATGAGCCTTAGAGGCCTGGGTGGCACTCTCCCACATCAGCCACCTTCCCCATACGTGCCAACGCCCTGGGAGAGGGAAGCTGGCAAAGCAGCAGTTCTGCCCCCACCCCGCCCTGCCACAACTCAGGATTTCTTGAGGAATTTTTTTAGGCCACCGTTTCACAACCGTTTTCAAACCCTGACCATTTTTTGTTTGTTTTTTAGGGACAGGGTCTTGCTCTGTCACTCAGGCTGGAGTGCAATGGCGCAATCATAACTCCCGGGTTCAAGTGATCCTCCCATCCCAACCCCCCAAGCAGCTGGGACCACAGGCCCATGCCACCACACCCGGCTAATTTTATTTATTTATTTACTTATTTATTCTTAGAGAGAGGGTTGCCCTCTGCCTGCCCAGGCTGGAGTGCAGTGGCGTGATCATAGTTCACTGCAGCCTCAAACTCTGAGGCTCCAGGGATCCTCCTGACTTAGTCTCCCCAGTAGCTGGGACTACAGGCATGCACTACCGCACCTAGCTAATTTCTAAAATTTTTTTCTGGAGACAGGGTCTTGCCATCTTACCCCAGTTGGTCTCAAACTCCTGGGCTCAAGTAATCCTCCCAAAGCTCTGGGATTACAAGCATGAACCACTGAGCCTGGCCTAACATACGTATTTATAAATTTCTTCTAGTGATTTGGTCTTGCTATGTTGCCCAGGCTGGCCTCAAACTCTTGGCCTCAGGTGATCCTCTCACCTCAGCCTCTTAAAGTACTGGGATTACAGGCATGAGCCCCATGCCTAGCCACTCTGCCCATTTTTGGATAAACAGAATCATCTCATACAATCCCATTTAGTCTGATTTGAAACCTCCAGCCTTTATCATTTCAACTATGCAATTATGCCAGTCCTGTGAAGCATGATCCCAGCCATCCAGGCTCAGGGGCTGTCTCAGTCACAGAACCCATCTAGCAATCAAAAACTCAAATTCTCTTTCTCAAACACTAGAAATTGCAAACAAAAAAAAATTTTTTTTTTTTTTTTTGAGACAGAGTTTTGCTCTTGTTGCCCAGGCTGGAGTGCAGTGGTGCAGTCTCAGCTCACTGTAACCTCCATCTCCTGGGTTCAGGTGATTCTCCCGCCTCAGCCTCCCGAGTAGCTGGGTTTACAGGCATGCGCCATGATACCTGGCTAATTTTGTATTTTTAGTAGAGATGTGGCTTCTCCATACTGGTCAGGCTGGTCTCGAACTCCCAACTTCAGGTGATCGACCCGCCTCATCCTCCCAAAATGCTGGGATTACAAGCATGAGCCACTGCACCCGGCCACAAACAAATAATTTTTATTTAAATCTACTACTATGAAAAATCTTGACCACTCGCTAAAGTATTAGATTGGTGCAAAAGTAATTGTGTCTTTTGCCATTAAATAATAAGAGTAGCAAACCTTCCTCCTCTCTCCCCCATATAGGAAGCCTGCTGGATTTTCTGAAAAGTGATGAGGGCAGCAAGCAGCCCTTGCCAAAACTCATTGACTTCTCAGCCCAGGTGAGAGCCTCATGAGGAAACGGGGAAGGGAGACAGGGATTCAAGTTTTTATTTGCCAAATGTTTACTGACCATGTGCTATGATGATAGCAGTAATCATAATGGGTAAAATGTATTGAGTGCTCAGTATTAAACTATGCTTTCTGCATGTATATAATTACACGTGCACTCATTCATTTAATCACCATGTAAGCTTTATAGGCTGGGATTCTTGTTATCTATTTTGGTGTAACAAACCATCCCAAGTCCTACTAGCTTGAAACAACAGCAATTATTATTTTTCATGATCCTGTGGGTTGCCTGGGTTCAGCTGGTCGGTTCTTCTGCTCGTTGTTGTAAAGTGAGGTGCGGATGCATCCTGTTGGCACTTGCCCAGGCTAGAATGTCCAAGACATGGCTCAGCCTCCACATGGCCCCTCACCACCCAATCACCCAGGCTGAGCTTCTTCATGGCGCAGCAGCTTGGTTCCAAAATGAAGCGGGACAAGGGCCAAGCCCTCATGAGCAGATTCTCATTAAGCCTCTGGCTGCATCAGGCTTGCTAATGGCCCATTGGCCAAGTCACATGGCTATGCCCAGAATCAGTGTGGGAGGGGAATGACCAAGAGCACAAATCCCAGGGACCCCCCCCCCCAATGTAACAGTCTGATCATAGGGAGGTAATTATCATCCCATTTTACAGAATAGAAAATTGAGGCATAGAGCAGAAGTAAAGTACAGATGAGGAAACTGAGGCCCAGTGTGGTTAAGTGGCTTGCATAAGTTACTGTGCTAATTATGGGGGATATAGCAGGGAACAAAATGAAAATGTTCCTGTCCTAATAGAATTCACAGTCCAGATGGGAAGAAAGGTATTAAATAACCGAATCTCTTAGGGAGCATGACCTGAGGGGCCTTGACTGAGTCAGACAATTACAGTATCCAACACAGTAAATAATGTTTGCAAATCGCAGAAACACTGCTCAAAACCTCATTTTCTTTCTCATGTTTCCCTCGCCCCTTGCAGCTCCTCTCATCCCCAGCCTGAGCAGATTTTTTGACTTCTGTCCTCTCTCATGTTCTCTCCAATGTGTGGGAAAACAGAGTGTGAGGACGGGGTGTTATTGGAGTGCATAGTTAGAGCATTTAGCAATCACAGAATGCTTCCTGGAGGAAGTGGCCTTTAGGCTGAGTCTGAGGGATGAGTAGAAGTTCAGTAGATGAAGAGAAAAGGGAAGGGTCTTCTAGACAAAAGAAACAGCCTATGCAAAAGTAGGTAAAGGAGTTTAGCCTACTTGGCAGGAGCCCAGGGGGTGGTGGGAGTTGAGTGAGACCCAGCCTGGGCCTTAGCTGGGCCTCCTGCAGATGCCAAGGGCAGGGCTCATTTGAGTATGTAAATTCCAGGGGCCCAGAGGACACCACAAGGTGTAACAAAAGACTACTTTCAGAGCCTGGAATGCCAGAGGGATATGGAAATATGTTTTCACTCCAGTGGGCCCAGTCTCCTGGGAGACAATAGACTGATCTGTTGCTAAATTATCATCTCCAAACTCGCAGAAACCCTGCTGGGCAGCAGTCACGGACCAGGGCAAGAGCCACTCTCCCTGTTTCACAAAAGGGAAACAAACCAAGGAAGGAAAGAGGTTCTGGGCCTTCATCTGTCCAGAAGCAGAGGTAGACTCAGAGCCCAGGGGAAGAAAGGAGCCCACCTGGGGCCTTGGTCCTCACCTCCAGACTCGGAGAGGCAGCTTGGAGCAGCAGGTGGGTTCCCCAGCCTGTCACCACCAACTGGCTATTGACGTCCAACCCACTTTGGGTCTCAGTCTCCCCATTTGTCAAATGAGGGAACTGGACCACAATGTGGGTTTTTTGGTTTTTTTTTTTTTTGGTAGTCACAGCTGCGTTGGCCAAATGAAATGGTGTGCAGTAACTGAGTAAATACAAACAGGCCAAAACAGGGCTGCTCTGACCAAAGCAGGGTGAGGGGCTTATCTGTGGCCTTTCTTTTGTCTCCCCCGCCCCCATATAACCTTGAGGCATCCATAGGATTCATTTTGAAGAGCTCTACAGGTCTTTCCAGGTCTGATGCTGTGACACCCCGATACTCTTGGAAGCAAACCCAGTTCCAATGCCCAACCTCATGGCACCCTGTCTGGGGATCATTAAAATCTCACCACCTTATCAACCCCCAGTGCTGACACCTGGGCTCAATAAACCTACTCATTACTCATTCAGTCAGCAAACCCTTGAGAGGCAGCACTACTAACATCTGGGCTTAGGAGTCACATTGAGTTTTGTTTTGATCTCAGCTCTGCCTGTGTAGCTTCGAGCAAGTAGCTTAACCTCTCTGAGTGCCACTTTCCCCCACTGAGAGCACCAGGAGCCACTATTGAAATATATACTTCACTATGTGCTAGACACTCCACTAAGCCCTTGATGTAGGCTTAGGGGATTAATCTTCACTTGACCCCTTGGAACCGGGTGCTATTACAGAGAAGAAAGTGAGGTACAGAGAGATGACACAATTTGCTTGACATCACAGAGCTGCAGCACGCAAGCTGAGCTGGTCCAGCTCCAGAGCCATTTAGTCAATACCCTCTGCTGTCTCCTGAGTGGGGTGTCAGCCCCAGTCCATTGAGCTCCTGTGAAAATCAGTGGTATGAGCATCTGCCAGTGGGGATCAAACAGCGGTAACTCCTGGCATTAGAGCTTGTTCCAGAAGAAAAGCCAGGCAAAAGGGTTGGGCAGAGTAACAGGCCAGTGCACAGACCCCAGGCGGCGCTTTTGGAGTTTCAGCCCGGGCTCCGCAACTTGCAAGCTGTGTAAGCTGGGGCCACTTACCTATTTCTCTGGGCTTCAGTTTTCTTATCTGTGGAAAGGGGGCTGACAGCAAAAGTGCCTCCTCCAAAGCACAAGGTACATGTCACTTAAGTATTTAAGTATCATCCTGTAAACAAGCTATGATGTCTGTTAATCGTTCGTCTAAGGACTCATAAATTTCCCACACTCCCAGGATCAAGATTCTGTCTCTCACTTCCTCCTGGCAACCTCATCCCTATCTCGTCCCTACCTCCTACGACTCCAAACAAAATCAGTCTCTTCCAAGCTTTTACTGAAAAGTCTGGGTCTCCCTTAGAGACCCAGGGAGGCTCAGGCCTGTAATCCCAGCGCTTCGGGAGGCTGCGGTGAGAGGACCGTTTGAGCTCAGCCTGGGCAACACAGGGGCCCAGGAGGCAGAGATTGCAATGAGCTGTGATCCCACCACTGCACTCCAACCTAGGTGACAGAGCAAGAGCCAGTCAAAAAAAAAAAAAAAAAAAAGCCTGGATCTCCATTCTAACTGCCTCAGGTGCCCCCTGCTGTCCACTCCCTGCAAGTGCGCCACTCACTTGACTCAGTCGCTGGGAGGCCAGCTGGTGGTGCTTTGATTGGTCTGTCTAGTCAGACGCTCTCGCTTCCAGAGTAATTTCATCAAACTGCACCCAGCTGCAGTCCGACTGGAGTGCTGGGTTATTTAGAGGCAACAGGAAGCACTAGATTGGGAATGCTCAGACTGGCTTGAGCCTGACATTCAGAATGTTTCTGGTGGTGTGAGCTGGAACGAGTGTTTCCATGTCTGTAAAACAGAGATCAGATCATGATCATTCCTGCCTCAAATTGCTTGTCGCCCAGTTTGTCAGCCAAAAGTGCTGCTTTCTGGGCATCTGAGGGTTCATCTTCAACCTCTTTTGTCCACACCCTTGTAAGTAAAAATGACTGTGAGATATAATCCCTGTGTTTTCATCAAAGGCTTCTAGGGCCCCCAGTGTGAATAAGAATCCTCCATGCAGTCTGTTTCACTCGGCAGCCATGGTGATCTTTAAATGTACATCAGAACATGTCACACTCCTGCCTGAAGGCCTCGAATATCTCCCCATCACGCTCAGAATAAAATCCACCCTCCTGTCCTGGCCGACAAGGCTGTTCATGATTATGGCCTCCCTTCCAACTTCAGCTCTCCCCACTTTCTCTGTGGCATCTTCTGCTCGCCACACTGGCCTCTGTGCTGTTCCACAAACACCCAAGCTCTTTCCTACCTCTAGGCCTTTGCACCTGATGTTCTCTCTGCCTAGAATATTCTTATGTGACACACTTATTATTATCATCATTCCTATCTTTGCTAAAATCTCACCCCCTCAAAGCAGGTTTCCCTGAACACCCAATCTGAAAAAGCCCTCTACGGGTCATCTTTTGTTACTCTGTTTTATCTTTTTTTTTTTCTTTTTTGAGACAGAGTCTTGTTCTGTCACCCAAGCTGCAGTGGCATGATCTCGGCTCACTGCAGCCTCTGCCTCCCAGGTTCAAGCAATTCTCATGCCTCCACCTCCTGAGCAGCTGGGATTAGAGGCGTGCACCACCACGCTCATCTTCCTTTTGAATTTTTAGTAGAGACAGGTTTTGTCATATTAGCCAGGCTGGTCTTGAACTCCCGGCCTCAAGTGGTCTACCCACTTCGTCCTCCCAAAGTGCTGGGATTACAGGTGTGAGCCACCACGCCCGGCCTGTTTTATCTTTTCTTTATGGGACTTTCTACCTGCAGCAGTTTTGCCTGGCTCACCACCTGTTCAAGCAACATGTCTGGCACCCACAAGACAATCAGTAGATTTCTGTTGAGTAAATAAGTGAATTTTCCCTACCCAGGGCTGGGGCATGAGAAAGATATAAGAGGTATAGCAGAATATGACATGAGCCTAGATAGTCCCCAGAAAGAGGGTTGAAGATGAAAGCTCTTCATAGTGTTCTAGAATTTGTGTGTGTGTGTCTGTGTGTGTGCGTGTGTGTGTGTCTGTGTGTGTGTCTGTGTGTGTGTGCGTGTGTGTGTGTCTGTGTGTGTGTCTGTGTGTGTGCGTGTGTGCGTGTGTCTGTGTGTGTGCGTGTGTGTGCGTGTGTCTGTGTGTGTGCGCGTGTGTGCGCGCGTGTGTGTCTGTGTGTGTGTCTGTGAGTGTGTGTGTCTGTGTGTGTGTGTCTGTGTGCGTGTGTGTGTGTCTGTGTGTGTGTGCATGTGTGTGTGTGTGTGTGTGTGTGTGTGTTCCTGGAGGAATAGGTCCTGGAGAAATAGTCCCATTGCTTTTTCCTTGAGAACACTTCAAAGTGCTCTCTGGAAGTCTTGGAAATCTAGGGAATCCCCCAAAGTGACCCAGGCCTTAGGGATCCCCACAACCTGAATGCCAGCCTGAGCCCCAGGGCCCTCCCAACAAAAGAGTGAGGGCTGGTGCAGACATTTCCCATTTTCTTCCACTTGAACACCTCTCTGCTGCTTTTGGGTGGGGCCCTCTTGGCATAGGCGAGGTCTGAGGACAAAAGAGTCTCTGTTTGGGGTGCAGATTGCAGAAGGCATGGCCTTCATCGAGCAGAGGAACTACATCCACCGAGACCTCCGAGCCGCCAACATCTTGGTGTCTGCCTCCCTGGTGTGTAAGATTGCCGACTTTGGCCTGGCCCGGATCATCGAGGACAATGAGTACACGGCTCGGGAAGGTAGGGACGCTGCCAAGCAGGCCCACATTGCCCATTTGGATGGTTGTGACTGTTGAGAGTTGATATGTGTGAGAGTGATTGGCAAAACGCAAGGGTCTGCCCCAGTCTTAGCTGTGCGTTCTTGAGCTCGGTGGATACTTCTGGATAGTGTCCTGGACTTCAGAGTCTCACCCAGAGACTTTGAGAAGGAGATTTTAGATCAGATGGAGAAGTACTGAGAGATTTTAGAGGGAGTTAGGCAATATATGTTGAAATTAAGGGTAAGAGCAGCTTTGTGCATAACAGACAAAAATAGGGCCGATATCCAAATGTCCATAGCGGGAGGATGGATGTATACATTGTGGTTTATTCACAAAATATAATACCATGCAGTGATGCAAAAGTACAAACCGGCCAGGCTCAGTGACTCGTGCCTGTAATCCCAGCCCTTTAGGAGGCAGGAGGATTGCTTGAGCCCAGGAGCTCAAAACCAGCCTGGGCAACACAGGAGACCTAGTCTCTACAAAAATTTTAAAAATTAGCCAGGCATGGTGGCACGTGCCTATGGTCATAGCTACTCAGGGGGTTAGGGTGAGAGAGTTATTTGAGTCTAGAAAGTTGAGGCTGCAGTAAGCTGTGATTGTGCCACTGTACCCAGCTTGGTGGACAGAGCAAGACATTGTCTTAAAAAAAAAAAAAAAAGAGACTGGGCACGGTGGCTCACGCCTGTAATCCCAGCACTTTGGGAGGTCAAGGCAGGCAGATCATGAGGTCAGGAGTTCCAGACTAGCCTGACCAACATAGTGAAACTCTGTCTCTACTAAAAATACAAAAATTAGCCTGGTGCCTTAAAGAAAGAAACAAAAAAAAAGCACAAACCAATGCTAAATGCACCAAAATGGGTAATTCTCACCGGTATATCAAAATGAAAGAAATTAGACCAAAAAAGAGAAGATGCCAATTGGTTTCATTTTTGTAAAATTCAAAAAGAGACAAAACTTGTATATGGACGTTCATGGAAGCATTCTTCCTAATAGCCAAAAGATGGAAACAACCCTCTTTAATGTCCACAGACTGATGGATGAACAGATAAACAAAATGTGGTATATTCATACAATAGAATATTATCTGGCCACAAAATAGAATGAAATGCTATGTCAGGCTGGCACACAGATGACCCTTGAAAACATTATGTTAAGGGAAAGCCAACATGAAGACCACATACTGTTTAATTCCTCTTCTGTGAAATGTCCAGAACAGGCCATCTTTTTTTTTTTTTTTTTTTTTTTGAGACATAGTCTTGATCTGTCACCCAGGCTGGAGTGTATTAGCATGATCTCAGCTCACTATAACCTCTGCCTCCCAGGTTCAATTCTTGTGCCTCAACCTCCTGAGTAGTTGGGATTACAGGCACATATCACCACACCTAGCTAATTTTTGTATTTTTAGTAGAGACGAGGTTTCACCACGTTGGCCAGGCTGGCCTCAAACTCCTGACGTCAAGCCTCCCAAAGTGCTAGGATTACAGGCGTGAGCCACCACGCCCAGCCCAAAACAGACAAATCTAAAGAGAGAGAAAGTAGACGAGTGGTGGCTACAGCTGGTGGTGGGGAATAAGGAGAAATGGGGAGTGACTTCTGTGGGATTTTTGCAGGGAAATGTGATGAAAATATTCTGAAATCCATAACTTTGTGACTATTCTAAAAGCCATGGAATTATGCACTTTAAATGGGTGAAATGTATGGTCTGTGAATTCTAGCTCAATCACGCTGTTAAAGAAACGGGCAAAATGTATTTATAGCACAGAGGTCAGAATCGCAGTCACCTTTATTTTCTGTTAGCTTACTTTTTATTTACTTATTTTTTTGAGACAGTCTTGCTCTGTTTCCCAGGCTGGAGTGCATTGGCTTGATCTCGGCTCACTGCAAACTCCACCTCCTGGGTTCAAGCAACTGTCCTGCCTCAGCCTCCTAAGCAGGTGGGATCATAATCACACTCCATTATGCCTGGCTAGTTTTTATTTCTAGCAGAGAGGGGTTTTCACTATGTTGGCCAGGCTGGTCTCAAACTCCTGACCTCAAGTGATCCACCTGCTTGGGCCTCCTGAAGTGCTGGGATTACAGGCATGAGCCACCACACCAGGCCTATTTATTTTTTGAAGAGACAGGTGCTTGCTCTGTGCCCAGGCTGTAGTGGAGGAGTATGATCATAGCTCACTGAAGCCTCTGACTCCTGGTCTCAAGCAATCCTCCAGCCTCAGCCTCCTGTGTGCCTGAAACTACACCCACCTCGGTCTCCCAAAGTGCTGGGATTACAGGTAAGAGCCAGGGTGCCCAGCCCTTCATATTCCTTTTCTATAAAAAAGGAAGTCCTTGGCTCACGCCTGTAATCCCAGCACTTTGGGAGGCCGAAGTGGGTGGATCACGAGGTCAAGAGATCGAGACCATCCTGGTCAACATGGTGAAACCCCGTCTCTACTAAAAATACAAAAAATTAGCTGGACATGGTGGCGCGTGCCTGTAATCCCAGCTACTCAAGAGGCTGAGGCAGGAGAATTGCCTGAACCCAGGAGGCGGAGGTTACGGTGAGCCGAGATCGTTCCATTGCACTGCAGCCTGGGTAACAAGAGTGAAACTCCGTCTCAAAAAAAAAAAAAGGAAGCCTTGTCATGACCCACTGGTCAAAAAAGCCTGGCCAGGTTTTTTGTTTGTTTTTGTTTTGAAATTAGCTGGGCATAGTGGTGCACACCTCTAGCCCCAGCTGCTTGAGAGGCTGAGGCAGGAGGATAGCTTGAGGCCAGGAATTCAAGGCTGTAGTGACCTATGATTGTGCCACTGTGCTCCAGCCTGGGCAATAGAGTAAGACCCTGTCTCTAAAAGAAAAAAAAATTGAAAAGGCTAACTAAACCCGTGTCAGATTATGTGGGAGGAGGGAAGTGGGAGACACACAGTGACTGGTGGGAACCTCATGGGCTGAAAGTCAGAATCCTCCTTCCCCTATCGCCCGGGGTCAGAGGACTGAGGCATTGGACTCAGGATCCCCTGAAGTCCTTCTGTCCACTAAGATCTGTGACCTCTGGGACTCCACTCTTCGGAGTTGTAGTTTCCTGGGGTATCAGCTGATCAACAAGGAGGGCTCTAGAGAGTGAACTTCCACGCCACACCCCAGATCCCTCTCGCACTCCTCCTTGTCTAGCCATCTGTCCTCAGGATGGATGTCCCTTGCTTCCAGGGAGGCCACCTAACAGGGAAATTGCAGTTTTGCAGGGGCAGATGTTGGCAGCTGTTGCCTTTGCCTGTTCCCCCACCTTAGCAGGGTCCCAAACCTCACTGCTCCCCAGCCTTCCCCTGACTCGGCTCTGCTCCATCCTACAGGGGCCAAGTTCCCCATCAAATGGACAGCTCCTGAGGCCATCAACTTTGGCTCCTTCACCATCAAGTCAGACGTCTGGTCCTTTGGTGTCCTGCTGATGGAGATTGTCACCTATGGCCGGATCCCTTACCCAGGTAGGGAAGGGGCATCAGCTCGGGGCTGCTTTCAGGGCCCAGCCTGGCAATGGGTTCATCTCATCAATGTGCCCATTCAAATTGAGTTCTTGATCCTCACCCACAACTTTACCTCACCTTTCCTGTCTTAGTTAAAGGCACCACCATCCATTCAGTGTCTTAAGCCTGAAATCTGGGGGCTTCCTTGGCCCTTCCTTCTCTCTCACCCCTGTTACTTTTCTTTTTTTTTTCTTTTTTGAGACAGAGTCTCACCCTTGTTGCCCAGGCTGGAATGCAATGGCACAATCTCAGCTCACTGCAACCTCTGCCTTCTTGGTTCAAACGACTCTCCTGCCTCAGCCTCCTGAGTAACTGGGATTATAGGTGCCCACCACCATGCCCAGCTAATTTTTCTGTTTTTAGTAGAGACAGGGTTTCACCATGTTGGCCAGGCTGGTCTCGAACTCCTGACCTCAGGTGATCCACCTGCCTCAGCCTCCCAAAGTGCTGGGATTACAGGCATGAGCCACCATGCCTGGCTTCACCCCTATGACATCTGAGCAGCCACGAGGTTTTGGCTACTTGACTCCAAAACATATCCCAAGTCTCACCACTTTGAACCCCGAGTCTCCACTGCATCCAGGCCAGCATCGTCTCCCATGGATGGCACAGCGGCCTCCTCATCAGTCTCACTGCTTTCTCCCCACTCATCCTACAGCCTATTCTCCACTTGCAGCCAGAAGGATAATTCTAAACTGTGAATCAGATCTTGTCCTTTCTCCACGCTCTTTTTTCTTTCTTTCTTTTTCAGACAAGGTCTCACTCTGTCGCCCAGGCTGGAGTGCAGCAGTGCAATCATAGCTCACTGCAGCCTCAACTTCCTAGGCTCAAGTGATCCTCCCTCTTCAGCCTCCCGAGTATCTGGGACCACTGGCACAAGCCACCATGCCTGGCTATTTGTTTTATATGTATTTTTTGTAAAGACTTGGTCTCACTATGTTGCCCAGCCTGGTCTCAAACTTCCAGGCTCAAACAATCCTCCAGCCTTGGCCTCCCAAAATGCTGGGATTATACACAGACACACACCCCACCATGCCCAGCTAATTTTTTAAATTTTTTGAGAGACGAGGTGTTGCTATTTTGCTGGGCTGGTGATTTCCATTTTTAAGTGATGCTTTAGCTCAGCGTGAAGCGTGAATGGGAAGGAAGGGGAACAGGGTGGCAGCCCATGAGGAGGCCACAGCAGCGGCCCAGGCATAGGATGGTGGATTCGTGACAAGCATACATTGAAGAACTGGTGCTACGTTTCAAAAGAAGGAAAGATCTGATTTGCTGACTTAGGAGGTGAGGGAGAGAGAATCAAAGATGATTACCCTGGCTTTGCACCACAGGGTGGGTGATGGTCTAGGGATAGAAATTTGGGAGATCTGGCAGGGTGCGGTGGCTGATGTCTATAATCCCAGCACTTTGGGAGGCCGAGGCGGGTGGATCACGAAGTCAGAAGTTCAAGACCAGACTGGCCAACATGGTGAAACCCCGACTCTACTTTAAAAAAAACACAAAAATTAGCTGGGCATGGTGGCTCGTGCCTGTAATTCCAGCTACTTGGGAGGCTGAGATAGGAGAATTGCTTGAACCAGGACCCGGGAGGCGGATGTTGCAGTGAGCCGAGATTGCACCACTGCACTCCAGCCTGGGCTACAGAGCAAGATTCCATCTCAAAAAAATAAAAGAAAAGAAAGAAATTGGAGAGCTCCATTTTAACCCTCTTAAATTTGAGATGACTTAAGTATAGAGACATACAAGTAAAGGAAGCACTTGAGTTCATTTATTTACAGCAGTAGGGGTCAGAATTGCAGTCACCTTTATTTTCTGATGCTTTGCTTTTTATTTATTTATTTATTTGAGATGGAGTCTTGCTCTGTTGCCCAGGCTGGAGTATACTGGCATGATCTCAGCTCATTGCAACCTCCACCTCCTGGGTTCAAGTGACTGTCCTGCCTCAGCCTCCGGAGCAGCTGGGATTACAAGTGTGCACCATCACACGTGGCTAGTTTTTGTATTTTTAGTAGAGAGGGGGTTTCACTATGTTGGCCAGGCTGGTCTTGAACTCCTGATCTCAAGTGATCCACACAGCTGGGCCTCCTGAGTTTGGAGTTTGAAACTAATAATATAAAATTGGGGATCATGGACATTGAATAGCTATTCTTATGAATAATAAAAACTTAAATTGAACAAGAAAATGGTCCCACCCACAGGGTGACACTGAATCTGGCCACCTGACTGCTTTGTCCTGAGAGGGCACTAGGCAGAACCAGACAACACACTGTAGATGCCAAATCCAGAAGGATGTGTTCTGCTACAAGCCACAAAATGACAGACTAAGAGTAACTGAAACAGAGCAAGCTATTACTCCCCCTCTGGCACTGGTGACTGGTTAGTTCAGCGGCTCAGCAGGACTGAGTCGGGACTCTGGGTTCCTGTCTCTGTGTTGATGTTCTCCGTGTGGTAAGATGGTGGTTGCAGCTCCGAGTATCATAAGTATCTCACAGTGTCCAAAGGAAGAGACGAAGGGTGTGTTCTCTAAAGACTGTCCTCTAAGTGGGAGGAAAACCTTTCCTGGCCTCTCCCAGCAGACCTCCCTGTCAGCTCCCATTGGCCAAAACCATGTCCCGGGCCCATGTCCTAGCTGCAAGTGAAGCTGGAGGAGGAAGTCTCTGGCTTCACAGTGGGAGGGGCTCAGCTTGCAAGGTGAGGTGGGGAGTGACAGCTGCTGGCGAGGCCACAGGGCCTGGCACCTCTGGGATCTCGTTTCCAAACTGCTTCCTTTTTACTTCCATGTCTCCTTTTCAGGGATGTCAAACCCTGAAGTGATCCGAGCTCTGGAGCGTGGATACCGGATGCCCCGCCCAGAGCACTGCCCAGAGGAGCTCTACAGCATCATGACGCGCTGCTGGAAGAACCGTCCGGAGGAGCGGCCGACCTTTGAATACATCCAGAGTGTGCTGGATGACTTCTACACGGCCACAGAGAGCCAGTACCAACAGCAGCCATGATGGGCAGGACCAGGGCAGGGCCAGGCACCCAGGTGGTGGCTGCAAGGTGGCTCCAGCACCACCCACCAGGGCCCAGGCTCCCTTCCTACTCCCAGACACCCACCCTTGCTTCAGCCACAGTTTCCTCATCTGTCCAGTGGGTAGGTTGGACTGGAAAATCTCTTCTTGACTCTAGCAATCCATAATCTGACATTGTCAGGAAGCCCCACACTTGATATTTCTGTTTCCTGGAATGGTTGGATTTCAGTTACAGCTGTGGTTTGGATGGGAAACTTTCAAAATAGTGAAATGAATATTTAAATAAAAGATATAAATGCCAAAATCTTTACCCAAAGGTTGGTTTTCCTGTCCTTCCAATTCCTAAATATCTATGTGCCTTCTTGCTGTATGACAAGTCAGAAAGTGTGAAGGACTCTCCCAGGGACCAGAAGTACAAAGGCAAGTGGGGTTCAGGCTGGGTGCTGTGGCTCTGACCTGTAACACCAGTGCTTTGGGACACCGAGTTGCTGGGGGGTGCTTGAGCCCAGGAGGTCGAGGCTGCAGTGAACTCTGATCGTGCCACTGCACTCCAGCCTGAGTGACAGAGTGAGACCCTGTTTCAAAAACAAAAAAAAGAAAGAAAGAGAAAAAGGAGAGAAAACTGGGGTTCAATGTGTGAAGTTTTCTAACTGCCCTAAAATAGTTGCTGGCTGGTATTAGTTTCCTCTTGTTCCTGTAACGAATTACCACACACTTGGTAGCTTAAGGCAACACAAATGTATAACCTTACTGGGCCGGGCACAGTGGCTCATGCCTGTAATACCAGCACGTTGGGAGACTGAGGCAGGCGGATTATTTGAGGTCAGGAGTTCGAGACCAGCCTGGTCAACATGGTGAAACCCAGTCTTTACTAAAAATACAAAAATTAGCCAGGCATGTTGGTAGGTGACTGTAATCCCAGCTACTGGGTAGGCGGAGGCACAAGAATTGCTTGAACCTGGGAGGTGGAGGTTGCAGTGAGCCGAGATTGTGCCACTGCACTGCAGCCTAGGTGACAGAGCAAGACGCTGTCTCAATAGATGAATGAATGAATGGATGAATGGATGGATGGATGGATGGATGGCTGGATGGATGGATGGATGAATGGATGGATGGATGGATGGATGGATGGATGGATGGATAACCTTACTGTTCCAGAAGTCAGAGGGACTGAATGGGTTGGCAGGGCTGCATTTCTTTTGGAGCCTCTAGGGCAGAATTTGTTTCCTTGCCTTTCCCAGCTTCTAGTGGTTGCTCCCATCCCTTCACTCATCAGTCTGTTTCATTCATTCCTCCAAACTTTGCTTTCGTCCTCATTTCTTCTCTGACTCTGAGTCTTCTTCCCCTCTTTAATTTGTAAGAACCCCTTAGATCCACCTGGATGATTCAGAATAATCTTTTCATCTCAGGATTCTTAATCAGCTTTGCAAAGTCCCTTTTGCCATGCAAGGTAACATTTTCACAGGCTCTGAGGGTCAGGACGTGAACATCTTTCAGTAGAAGGAGCATTATTCTGCCTTCTCCGCTGGTCTCCAGATGCTGGATGGGTTTTGCCTCCAAGGAGCTGGGTCTTCCAGGATGGTTTCTCATGATCTGGGATCCTGACTTTCCTGTTAGGCCACATTGCTACAAGAGCTGGTCAGTTGTCAGCTCCCCAGAGCTGGGGATTGCCCCCAGACCTAATATTTCCCATGGCCAAGCAGCCATCATACTTGTTGAGATGGTATTTACTGTTGCAGGAATCCTGGTCTGGAGATATGGCTGCTGAGAAGTGTTTAGTACCCTACAGGGGAAGCTCTCAGCAGAAGGGTGGGAGCCCTGTGTAGGAAGCAGAGAAGACCAAGTGCTGGGGGCTTCTTGAATATTGCCTCAGCTGAAAGTCCCTGGCAGCTAGGTTTTTAGTTTTTTTATCATAGAGAGAAAGACAAAAAGAAGTGGACAATGAGTGAAAAGCAAACATTGCCTTTCTATATTATTGCACCCCCCGAAGGTTCTACATCACATCACCCTCCAGGGTCCCACGAAATCCTACACAAACTTGATTCTGTACCCCTGAGTAGTGTGGGGTTCTGACCTTGGGAACTGAATATAAGAACAGTGGAAAATAAATCTAGTAGTATTTCAACTTACCTAGTTGCTCATTTAATTACTTTCTTGCTTTCTAGTTTGTGTCTTGGGTACCTGAAAGCAGAGCCCAGGGTCTTATGATGGAAATTTGCCCTTATGATATGTGATAATAATCCAAGGGGAGGAGAACACTTCCCTGCTCTGTCAGTGTTGAACTTGACCATGAGACTTGCTTTAGCCAATGGGATGTTAGCAGATGTGATGCAAGCAGAGGCTTGAGACGTGCTTGTGGGGCTGGGCTTGCCTTCCAGCCTTCTGCCCTGAAAAGAACATGGTCCAAGAAGATGACTGACAGATGGAGCAGACCTAGATGAACCTGCAGGCCTGAGCCCAGCCGAGATCAACTGAACTCCATCTCAGCTGCAGACATGTGAGAGGGAAATAGATGCTTATTCTGACAAGCCTTTGCATTCCAAGGTTGTTTTGTTTCATTGAAGTATGATAGCCACAGCGACTAAGGCACGGTATCAGGAGTTGGAATCTATCGCTTCCAACAACAAGGTCAAGGGATCAATTTCTGCACTCCTGCACTTTCAGTTTATATTGCCCAAACCAACACTGATTTGTCTCTCTGGTCACCAAAAAGGTAAAAACATGGGGAGAGATACAACACCAAAAGCATGATCCACAAAAGAAAAAAAAGATAAATTGTACTTCTTTAAAATTAAAAACTCTGCTCTGCATCTGACCCTATTAAGAAAATAAAAACATGGCCGAGCATGGTGGCTCATGTCTGTAATTCCAGAACTTTGGGAGGTCAGGGCAGGTGAATCACTTGACCCCAGGAGTTTGAGACCAGCCTGGCCAACATGGCAAAATCCTGTCTTAACTAAAAATACAAAAATTAGCTGGGTGTGGTGGCAGGTGCCTGTAATCCCAGCTACTCAGGAGGCTGAGGCAGGAGAATTGCTTGAACCCAGGAGGTGGAGGTTGCAGTGAGGCAAGATCACACCATTATACTCCAGCCTGGGCAACAATATGGAAACAAGAATGAGAGAGAGAAAGAAAGAGGGAAAGAGAAAGAGAGAAGGAAAGAAAGAGGGAAAGAGAGAACGAAAGAGAGAGAGGGAGGAAGAAGGACAGAGAAAAGAAAAACATGAGTCCCAAGCATGGAGAAAATATTTGCAAAAGGTATATCTGATGAAGGACTGGTATCCGCAATATATAAAGAACTTTTAAAACCCAACAATAAAAGAAAAACTCAATTTAAAAACATATGAAAGATCTAAGCAGACGCCTTACCAGGGAAGACATACAGATAGCAAATAAGCATGTGAAACAATGCTCCATATCATATGTTATTAGGGAAATGCAAATAAAATAATAAGACACCACTGCACATCTGCTAAAATGGCTGAGATTCAAAACACTGATGACACCAAATGCTGATGAGGATGTGGAGCAACAGGAACTCTCATTCTTTGCTGGTGGGAATGCACAATGGTCCAGCCACTTTGGAAGGTATTTACCAAACTAAGTATATACTACCACACAATCCAGCAATCGTGCTCCCATGTGAGTTGAAAATTTATGTCTATACACACACACACACACACGCAAGCACACATGCACATGGATTTTTATAGCAGCTTTATTCATAAATGCCAAAACTTGGAAACAATCAAGATGTCCTTCAATAGGTGAATGGATAAACAAATTTCAGTATATTCATATAATGGGATATTATTCAGCACTAAGAAAATAATCCCAGCACTTCGGGAGGCTAAGGTGGGAGGACTGTTTGAACCCAGAAGTTTGAGACTAGCTTGGGCAACAAGTGGGACCCCGATCTCTGCATAGAGTTTAAAATGTATCTGGCTGTGGTGGCATGCAACTGTGGTTCCAGCTCTACACAGAATGCTGAAGCAGGAGGATTGAGGCACGATAATCACTTGAACCTGGGAGGCAGAAGTTGCAGTCAGCCGAGATGGCGCTACTGCACTCCAGCCTGGGCGACAGAGTGAAACTCTGTCTCAAAAGGAACATTTAAAAATAGGCCGCATGCCGGGCGCAGTGGCTCACACCTGTAATCCTAGCACTTTGGAGGCCAAGATAGGCGGATCATGAGGTCAGGAGTTCAAGACGAGCCTGGCCAACATGGTGAAACCCCGTCTCAAAAAAAAAAAAAAAGGCCGGGCACAGTGGCTCACACCTGTAATCCCAGCACTTTGGGAGGCCACGGAGGGTGGATCAACTGAGGTCAGGAGTTCGAAACCAGCTTGGCCAACATGGCAAAACTCTGTGTCTACTAAAAATACAATACTGGGTGCCTGTAATTCCAGCTGCTCGGGAGGCTGAGGCAGGAGAATCACTTGAATCTGGGAGGTGGAGGTTGCAGTGAACCGAGATTGTGCCATTGTACTCCAGCCTGGGTAAAAGAGTGAGACTCCATCTCAAAAATAAATAAATAAATAAATCTTTCTTTAAAAGTGCTGTCAAACCATAAAAAGACATGAAGGAAGCTTAAATATAGATTGCTAAGAAAGAATCCAATCTGAAAAGGCTTCATGCTGTACGATTCCAACTATATGACATTCTGGAAAAGCAAAACTATGGAGGCAGCAGCAAAGTCGGTGGTTACCAGGGGTTTGGTGTGGCGGGGAGGGAGAGAGGAATAGGTGGAACACAGGGTTTTTAGGGCCTTGAAACTATTCTACATGAAACTGTGATGGCGTATACATGTCACTATACATCTGCCCAAACTCACAGAGTTGCAACATGAGAAATGATCCCATATGTACGGGGTGGACTTTAGTTAATAATGTATCAACGCCAGATCATTGATTGTAACAAATGTATCACACTAACACAAGATGTTAATAATGAGGGAAACTGGGGGCAAGCTGAAGGGGCATACGAGAACTCTGTGCTTTCTAATCATTTTTCTGTATACCTAAATCTGCTTTTAAAATTTTGTCAGCTGGGCACAGTGCCTCACACCTGTAATCCCTGTATTTTGGGAAGTTGAGGTGGGAGTATCACATGAGCCCACGAGTATCAGACTGTAGGCACTCCAGCCTAGGCAAGAGTGAGACTCTGTCTCTAGGGGGTAAAAAAGTCTATTAATTAGTGTGCTATGATCACGTCACTGCACCCCAGCCTAGGCAGCAGAGTGAGATTCTGTCTCTAGGGAAAAAAAAAACTTTATTAATTAAACAAACAAAAACATGGGGATGAATTTTGTG